ATATAAAAGTGTCTACGAAAAACTATAGAAGTAAAAGAATATTTAATCATTTTTAGATATCATGTATAAAAAAAATTAATTTATTTGCGACGAATATTTTTTTAACTTTACAACACTACATACGCAGTAAGAGATGAATAAAAAACAAAATAAACAAACAAAAATGCAACACAATAGAGGAAAAAGTTGTAAAAATAGAAATGTGAAGAACTATTATAAAAAAAAAATACGCGCAAAAAGAGAACATTACGCATAATGGAAAGGAACAAGAATAATTACGAGAATAGAACGATACTAATTACATTAAAAAGAATTGTCTAGAAGAGGCAGTTAATTAATTATTTATGGAAGCGGCAAATGCAATGGATACAGACCGTGATTGCAGCCGAGATTATTCGTATTCGACACGAACTATGTATTGTGTCCGTAGAATAAAAATCCTACTTTTTTTAAACAGTGCTTTAATAAGTGCGTTTACTCTTGCGCACTTTCGCCTCGATTAAAACGCAATAATGCGCAATTTATTGTAAATGAAAATTTCTGAGTGTTCTTAAGTTAAAGTTGTTTTGTTTAAGGATGTATTTGAGCTATATGCTGCGATTAATTTATTTGGTTAAAACAGTATCTTCCTTTACATAAAATTATTAGGTGAAATAATAATTTAATTTTATATAGGAATATTTTTTGCATATATGATTCAATAATACCTTAAAAATAAATTGTAATTGTCATCCGATATATTGCGTAGTAAGTAGAATTTTTTAAGATTTTTCAATATTAAATTCTCAATCAAGTTGCGTCATCACATTTTTTAAATTTTATTCTGCAATAACATCCTCATAGAATTGCCAATAGAAATACATGTAAAATGAACATGAAAAAAATTTTGAGTTACAAACTGTTTCGTGAAAATTCGCCTGCACGCTGCATCCAACGTGCTTGCTTCCCTAACGAAGTTTTGACCGAGAATACTTTTTCGTGAAGTATTGGTAATGAGCGCATCCACAGAATGAGACTGTAACGAGCGACCGCGAGTTAATTAACTTGCATCGCGCGTTTCTCAAAATTACATTCTGTCTCGCATTAATTCTCGTCATCGTATCGCGTCAAGTGTACTTAGATGTTTCGCGCGAATGTACGCGTAATTAACTTTTTGAATTATTTTTATTTTAGAATTTTATAAAACTAATTACGAGAACTTAATATACCGATTACATTAGTCTATTTAATTACAACATATTGATTCCAGCTTAATGCAGAAAGAATCGTAATAAATTAAATTACATGTGTTGAAAACATCGATAACCGTAATTCAATTTTGTGATATATTTTACGTGACAAAATGGAATATACCGACAAATTGATGAAAACATATTGCACGCATAAAGTGTCAACATGACACATTTTAAATAAAGAACAAATCAAGAGTAATTATGTAATTTAATACAAAGATTGAATAATTTTATTCGTGATCCCCGGTTTGCTTATCAATTATAATTTCTGTGGTGACGGCAACTTTGTGTACTCGTAATTAGTTTAGCAGCTGCCAGCCGTAACAATTAAATTCATTTGGCTTGAAATGCAACTGTATTGCAAAAAATAATATTAAGTTGAATTGAACGAGACGTATCTGAAAAATGTAAATCCTTTTATTCATTTGTCTGAGAAATATGCACTGGAATTTCACATTACGCAGAAAATTAATGCATTAATGTAAAATTAATGCATCCATAAAACTGAAACTTTTTGTATTACTCTATTGCTAAGATAATCAAAAATACAAAATTGCAAATCAGTTGATAGAGAAAATCAGTGCAACTCAAATTAATATTTTATATCTCTACGAGATTAAACGCTCTTTTTTTTCCGCAAGATATTACATGCTGGTTAAACGAATGCCAGAGGTAGTTACACCAATGAAAATGGCGAGAGGATAATCGCTCGTGAATAGCAATAAAATGCCATTTTCATTAAGAGCTTCTCTGAAGTCATTCTTTCTGATTACTTTTTAATATTGGATAACACATTGATCAAAATTGGTAGCCATGTCCCAACATTCAACATTCTATAATTTTATTAATCTAATTATCATTAAGAATAAAATATTTTATTATAAAATATGAATGTTGTATTACAATACACAAATTTGAGAAATTTTATGAGCATATAATTTATAGAAACTATATATAATTTTTGTTAATATAAAATATTTATTATGAATTGCATTAAAAATGAATTAGGAATAATAAAATGACATATTAGGAAATATTCTCTGATTTTTATTACACTTATAATAAAATTATAGGAATGGTTGTAAGACCTTAAAGTTAAATCAAGTAAAATTCTAAAAGAAAAGATATCTCCAGTTTTTTTTAATTATGCGAGGAGTTGCATTACTAGACTGGTGAACTCTGAAAGTAATTATTCTTGCGGGATATTACAAGAATAAAAAGATATTCGAAGCAACAAAGATCGTTAAGTGATCTTCCAAGTCGCGACAAGTATTGTCTTCTTCGGAGCTCTTTGAGATCCCAAAAGTTGTTAGCCAACAGAAACTGTTGTTCTCTCTTACGGGAATTTATTACTCTTTTCTTCTTCTATCTGCGATGGTATATTACCCAGAAACTACGCAGTTTCATTAAAACTTCACGCAGAAGTGAACTTCCAAGATATGATATTGCTAAGATGCAGTCTTCATCTTCGAAGTCTTTAAGATGCATTCCTGTAGTGCTTAATATTATTAACGTCAGCGCAATAATTTTCGAATATTATATTCTTAAGAAATTGTAAAGAATGTGAAACGTTTATTCTCTTTTGTGAGTGTATTAACTTAAAACATTATTACACTTTCGCTGTAAAAACTAGAAGTTAAAATCATAAACAAAACTTTTAGTAATTTTAAGCAAATGTATTTATATTTATTGCAGTTTTATTATTTTTAACAAATTTAAGTTTGTTTTTATCATTCATGAATTTCTATATTTTCAACCGCGCAAAGGTTATGATTTTGAGTCAAGAATTATTTATGAATAAATTGTATGTACGCTAAAAATTTATTTACATAATAAATTTACAAATAATATATACATGCAACAAGTAAAGAATTTGCTTTTAAAACCACAAGTAAATTTATCCACTATATATTTATGGTATTTTGTAATCCATCAGTAAAAATATGGAAATACACATAGTAGGATGCCGATGCTCGGAGTTTCGCAAGATTTAATAAGCTCGTGGTATCACCTCAGGGGGTGGCATTTCATCTTGGAGCCGGATCAGCTGATTCGATCGGCAAGACGCGATTTTATAACACGGCATAACCTATCGGCACGTTTTCGTGATCTCCATGTAACTTCGTGGATTACCTCGCCAAGTCGCGTTTACATTGCATGTTTACCTTCCGACCACGTCATCCTATTTTCCTGCGGGGCTCATTACTTCCCTTAAATCCGACACTCTCGCGGCGTCGATGGTTTTGTAAACATCTCGCGGTCTGGATTACAGGGACAATTTCGGAGCTGAAAAGCAATTGGATAGCAGCTTACGAAAGTTTTACGCCAGCCGAAAAAAAAAACAAACGACCATGATTGAATCAAACAGTGCTTTGTGATTTTAATCCTTTTATCTTGAAATATAAACTTTATTATTTTTAATAACTTTATATCTGGTTAAGATCAACTTTTTTAACTAAATTTTGGAAAGAGATTAATAATTATGCATTCTTATTAAACGATTAAAAAATTTAATTATTAATTAAATATTATAATTTTTTTCAAATACCTTCTTTCGAGAGATTTATTCTAAAAAAATATTTATAATAATATTTTTTTACTAAAATAAAGCAGATTTTCATTTACGCTCTGTATGATGTAATGTAACATGACACATTTATGAATTTCGCGGACTTTCATTACTAGCAAAATTTAAGGAACATCCATCATATGACAAAATATCCGAATGTAGGACGATTCGCGTAATCGTCCATCGGACGCAATCGCGGCCTTAATTGCACTGCTGACCGATTTATTGTTCGCGCGTATGCATTTTGCGTTGTTACGCAGCACCACAACGGAAATGCATGCTGGTCGCAGATTAATTTGCTCAACCCCTCGACCCCTTTGCTGGTCTCTTCCTCCGGCTCTCAATCGCAGGAACCGGACGTTTCAAATGAGATTTCGGTTAACGTGCGACTCACGAGGTAATGAAGGGATGCCTGCCCGGATTTGAAAGCGCTTGCGAGCTAGCTCCAAGTCGCTTCAAGTCTTGTAATTACACTCCATCAAGTCCACTTTGCGTCATTTAGACCTTCGGATTGAGGCCGACATTTTTGAACAAGTGGTTAAATATAATGTCAGGATCCTCGATCAAGGGGAATCCACTTGAGAATTTCTTAAATTTGTAGAATAATAAATCTGATAGGATCAATTAATAACTTTTGTCATTAAAAAATGTGCAATGTCGTAATTATTTTAGTACCTACTTAGTGTTTAATATCTTAGCAAATTATCTTAGCAAATTAAATTGAATAATTTTAATATACATGTTAGATATTATTATTCTCTAAAATTTTTTAAATCTAATTTAATGTCAAATATGATTAGCAATTGATCATATTAAGCTAGTCTTTTGCATATGATACGTGTTTAAGTTTAAGCGTAGTTATCGAGTTTTCGAAAAGTTAAAAAGTTTTACGGTAGAAAGTTCGGACACTCTTAATAGCATGTTCGCTCAACATTTTAGAAAGCAGGGTTGGTTAATGTGCTAGCTTCTTTGGCGTGAGTTCAAATCTGGATAATGAACTACTTTCCTGGCTTCTTACTTACACTATATAAAATGCAAGACAATTTCCACGTATTGTTTTTATAAAATCTGACGGATTATATTTTAATACTTTATGCTATCATAAAAATTCATTAATCTTAGCATGTATATAATATAACGATATATATATATATATCTTTGGCAAACTATTATAACTTTATTCTTTTGATTTCTTACAGATGGGCTTGCGTTGTCGATGCCAGTCGAAGTGTGTGATATTAAACGGTTGGCAAAGCGCAAAATGATTTCTATAGCAAACAAGAATTTCCCAAAGTCGCAGGAAGAATCCAAAGAGAAGTCGCATATGGCCGTGGTTGAAAATCGATATTGTGACGCGACGAAGTATCGTAAAAGTTTTCGGGGGATTTTCGTTCACGTCGAATCAACCGCTGCGAACGGTGCCTGGTAGATCTTTCGCTGGATCGATGCCTGTAGATTTTGAGAGGCTTTACGGCATTTCGGTCCTGAGGAACGAGCCACGAGGGAATTCGAAAAGAAGACTGCGATGCTCGTCTGAGCGATCAGCTTTAACACTTACACAGAAAACTACGAAAGAAATATCGCATTACGACAAAAATGAGTTTCTTCAACTCCCTGCAAGAATACGTGACAAACAGTGTGGCCAGCTTCAGTCTGAGCCCAAAAAGATTCTCGTTCAGCCGTGAGGATTCGAAGGGCGATAATGGGACCGGAAGAAGCGGCTCCACCGGAAGCGTCACTTCGACGACCAATACCAGCACTGCTTCTCAGCAAACCACGCCGCATGGCTTTCCCAAGGTATTTGATTAGAATAAATGCACTGTAGTCTGAGTAGATTAAGAAAAATATTGTTTGAATAATTTTAATATTTTTTAATTTGACTTTTTTTTATTACGTCTTTAATTTTCTGGAAAAATCCACTTTCATAATTTGCATAATAATTTAGTTTTGGTTTTATCATACTTAATGATTATATTTATGCGGGCACTTTTTTTCTTTCAAATATATTTTTCATTAGTTCGATAATCGAACAAATGGTTTCGATACTCAATTATTCGCTTAGATAGAGTAATTGAGAACTATGCAAATTTTATCGAGTAAATAACGCGATAAATTTTAATACAACTCTAACAGAGGATCTAATTGCGTGAAACCAAGATTAACTTCTTAGAAGGAGTGCCAGATCGACAAAGGACGTCTCTTGATTAAAGAAACTAAGAAAGACGACATTAAAGAGGACGTTCCGACATTATGATCCGAGGACGGACGAAGGCCGTATTGTCCGTTGTTGTCAGTGTGACAAAAAACTCGATTTATTGATTGCCGATATGTGCTAGAAGCAGAGTAATTAACCGCCTGTTACATCGGCGCTAATTTGTGCAGATATAAAAAAAATTTAATCTTCTCGTTCGGCACACTTTCCCGATATATCAGTGTATAAATTATATTTGAAACGACATCAAATTTACACCAGGAAAGCTTTAATAATGTAAAATCATGATTTTTGATACTAATTGAAATTTATTAATACATGATGTACTGGTAGAGGCGTTTTTTTAATAAGTATGACAGATTATTACGCAAATTGAAGTAAATATTATCAATGATGCATCGCTCTGCTGGACATATAATGACGTATCGCGACAATTTCTCCAATGGAATATATATCATTCGTTTAAATGAACGAGAAAATGAGATTTTATTAACTCTCATGTCAATGCATAAAAATGGTCTGTCGATACGGATGAAAGAACACGTTTTTTTAAGGAAACAATGGATTTATTGGCATGTAAATTAAAATGTCTATCAAATTACATTTAAGTGATATGTATAGAGAAAAAGTATCAATTTTTTACTAACCAATTACTTTTTTATTTTATAAGCAAAAATTTTATCAATATTTAGATCACTTTTCAATATTAAAATAAATATTTCAGTAAACGATACTTTTTTATAAATTAAATTAAAATATTTACATATAAACTATAACTTTTATTGTTTTTTTACGCAAAATATCAAACAATTTTTGGAGTTAAAATTGACAAAGTTATATAACATTTGAACGCCTCTGGTCATAGTGCGTTTGATACTTTTTTTTATTAATCATATTTTTTTGTCAGATCTCACAGAACTTAATCAGATTCGTGTTTTTTTTTTTAGGTTGTGCCACCGCCAGGAACCGTCTCGTCGTCGCACACACGTTCACTCTCGGCACGTCGACGCACTCTGGAGTGCACTTCCTCTCCGGGATTGACGGTGCATCCTGCAACAGGAAGCGGTGCCACATCGCCGAGGCGAGTTGGCTCCTTTCGTCGGAGTGCCGGATCCAGCGATCGACCGCCTCTTATGTTCTGCCGTCGACGACCATCCTGGCCGGAGTTCGACATACAAGCTACTTCCGGGTAAGTACCTTGAGAAACAAGTGCGCATTTTACAGTGCTAAGAAATTGTCACGTTTCCGCTTTTTTACCCCAAGTATACGACTGCGATAAGTAGATACTGCTATACATTAAAAGTAAGAACAATATTCGGAGCAATGTATAACAAACTTAGGTATAATGGCAAGAGTGAAATTAATAATGAAGCATAGAGGTCGAATATAATGCAAATAGAAAAATTTTTTTATATTTTATTATACTTTAATAATGAAATATATGCATTATATGATTTAATTTTATTATTCTGAAACTATAAGTAAAATTATAAAACACATGTTGAATTCAGAATATTATTATATAAGTGATGTACCTTAATAACGAGGTATTTAATTAACTAACGACGAATCTAAAATTAAATTACATTTCTCTGAAAGGAGAACATATGATTTTATTAAATTACTGAAATTTATATAATGAAGTATCGAAACAAAGTATCAGTGTTTCGAGGGAAACTTAATTTTCACACGCGACAACATTTCTTGCTGCTGCAAACGTATAATTTTATTTGATCGTTCGTCTTTACGATTGAAATGTTCAAGAATGCTCTTGATGCAGTTTCAAATGCTCTCAATCGGATTTCCGGTAAGACATTGCCTCCGTTGCGCGATCCAGCCATTCGCTTTAATCCGGTTATGTCAGCTCTATGCACTAAGCTTTCTAGTTAACTATGTGTCTCATCCCCTACTCTATCTCTCTTTCTCTCATCAGAGAATGCGCTCGCTAATAATAGAGGTGTGAATCAGGCAAGACTTCTCAAACGTATCTTTGTTTCCGGGATCTGCTAATAATGTCGCATTCGCAAACGCGATAGCGAACTGCATTCCGATAAATGTGAGTAAAAAGCGCAATGGCATTTTCTTTTTGGAATTTCGTATGCATATCGCAGTGAGTGCGCTTTTAATAAGGCCACTGCAATGCATCATGATTTTTCTCTGAGCTAGTTCGTTGCATATGCATAGGCACATCTGGCCATTTAGCATGAATTGTTAATCTTCTTTTTCAAATCTACCACTTTTTCTTTTCCCTCATATTTTTTTGGCGAGCAATTCTATTGGTTTGGATTTTTCTCACGTAATATTTCCATATATTACAAATCTGGAAAGTTTCATGAGGAATTGTGTAAGTGAAATTGACGCGCAATAACTAGATTTTTATTGCAAAACTCGATCTTTCTAAGCCGATAATCGTTTGGCAAGCCGATATCATTTATATGCGGGAACAATAAACGGTAATATCGTTTTTTGAATATTGAATATTTTTACAGTGAGCTCTTTTGAAAACTGAAATGCATGAAAAATATTAAAATCGACGTAATATCAAAATGGTTAATCTGATCTGATCAAATGGTTATTCAGATGATCTGAATTTTTTAAAAGCAAGTTTATCTTTTTCTAAAAATATATTTTATTAAACGTTATATAAAATATTGCAACATTAGAAATTTTTTTTTATAGAAAACCATGCAAGTTCAAATCTTACGAGAAATTGGGGAGATTTAACACATTTATTTTGCTTTATAACACTGCTTGATAAATGCAACCGGATTTACGTGAAATTCATGTACGTGTAATATTCGTGAAAAATGGTAATACAGTATGCATTACTCGAATAAATGATTAACGATATTAGACGAATAAAATATTTTTTCATCCCGTCGGATTTTATATGCAAAGTCTATTATCATGGCTCATACCATCAGGCAAAACAAGCGTAAGAATAATAAACATCTTAACACATTGTCCTTTGAACTTTATACACGACAAACTACCGTCTTTCTACTATGCACAAAGGCGCATAAAGTTGGCATACACTCGAGTTCTTTCGTGCAAGTCTGTAATATGTGCGTCTATCACACATACCATGCTTTATACCAAGATATATTTCCAAGATTCATCCCGCAAGGATGCCGCAAGAATACTCAAGTTGATTTATTCGCGTATATATATAAACTCGTGTGACATTAACGTAAAAGGACACGAGATCTACAATGAATCACCGAAAATTGCACTAAGCGGCTTATCTTATAGAAATGACAGAATGATAATTACTGTTATTAAGTTCAGTAATATACGTTGAAAAATATAAGAAAAAAAATTTTTTGAATTAAATATTTAATGAATACTATTTTAATTATTTTGATTAATGATTGAAAGTACGACTGTCATATACATATAATGGATATGGATATTTGCTTTTAATCACAATGTATTAAAGTTGCTGCGCGATAGAATTCGATACACGACGTTCATCATTCTACATTATAAAGCTGTGAATATTTAAATATCATAAGCATAAAATTGACTTTATGTCATAGTCGCTACGCGCATACATTGTTCTGTGATGCAACAAAAATTACCTCAGTAATTAAAACTCATGTATGCTCACATTATAAACTGTAATAGGCTCTCGTAAAGAGTTCTTGGACCGTTTTCCGATTTCGTTTAATTTTTTTCTTTCTATTAAAGCTTTGTGTCATCGTAATTCGATTCTTATTACTTTAATTTACGAATAATTTCTCATATTTTCTTTAAAATCATGTATTAATTACCCCGCCGATTTACACAGTGAACAATAGAAGCGCCACAAATGTGTAAAATCAAGTCACACAGAGAGTAAATTGAAAGGAAAAGAGTAAAAAGAAAAATTCGATTTATCTGCCTAGATAAATACTTTTCAGCGGGCGCGTCAACATGAAAATAACGTTTTCATTCACGCTGTAAAAAAATTTGGCGATTTTTATCAGCGATCAGCGAGGAGAGGCTGTCATTTGTCCCGAATCCTTCAAAGGGAAGGGACATATCGAGATCTAGCCACATTCGGTGACCTCAATTCGCTCGTGAGACTGGTAGAAACCGTCGTAATCAAAGGCCGCTACCCTTCCAGTATGACATCCTTTATACAAGCGTCCTCGAGACCTGGGATCCCACGAAACTGACTTTAGATCAACAAAAGCCCACCGCTCACCGAATTCCGGAGCTCTCATCTCTGCACGAATACATGATTTCTCGTATCGATATGTCATAGCGGTTTGATTATATTATACTTCTACAAGAATAAAAATCGATAATACATTTAAACGAATGATAATTTCTGTATGAGAATGTGAAAGAGAGGTTTTTACGCAACGTGAGATTCGATATTAATCAAATAATTATATTAATTAAATAGTTAAATAAATAGTTATTTAATGTAATTTGATAATATAAATTGCTATCAATTTTACTACATTAAGAACCGAGAAATTTTTTATTCACGCAATAAAACCTTTCTTGAAGGCGGAAATTGTCGCAAAGTAATAAATGATGTGTCTTTCCGTGACAAGAAGGATGCTTTCCTTATGAGATACCTTATATACGTACACTGGTGAATTTTAACTGAGACAAGGAGACTGAATCTCGGGCGCGACGTGTTTCCGAGACAAGATGAAGATTTACATCCACGATTTCTTTATGTCCGTTTCCAACATTGTCATTCTCCGGTTAAGAATAATGAAATGCTAAAAAGATAACGCTATAATTTTTTAAATCTTTAGTTTATTTAATAAATGTAGTTTTGTTATTAAGAATTAACAATTTTGATAAATTTATTTCATTATTGTATATTTTTGAGAAATCAATAATTAATGTTTGACGATTGCAAATTTATTAGAAATTATATTAAAATATGTCTAATTAAAAACTAAAAAAAATTACTCATATGATTGGCATATAAGAATCACTGCATATTTGCTTGCCATTAATGAGTAATCAACAAGGATACACTGGATCAGTTATTACTTACTTTCTAGCTTATTCTTAATAGAGAATCGCCCTAGATAAAATGCCGACACGTCTCTCGCCGAAACAACTGGAAACACTCGAGACTGGCAAATGAAGTTAGACACAGCAGGTGTAACTTAATCAATGTTGACGATGCTGACGCCCGTATGAAGGAAGGAAATAAACAATGGAAAGTGCATTATTTCGTAAATGGAAGACGACACCGGTCCTACTTCGGTGACATAACATTATTGCGTTTCCTGCTTACTCATGAAACTTTCTATCCTTCTTCGGAATACGAAAATACGAGATGTACGAGATGTTGCACAATGCAGGATGTCTCACAAATATATGTCAGAGTGCAGCATCTTGCACGTTCTCACGACACGTGCATTTGATCTTTCCTTAACAACGATTTAATTCACGACTTAGCGCTTGGCGAGCAGCCAATATCATACTTCATTGTATCGTATTTTGTGCAGGAAGAAGTATCTTGCGCTGCTTTTATATTCTTCTATCCATTAATTTCACTTTCTTAGGTTGTTGGATCCTTGTTCTATTATATCAAGTTTATATCTGATATTTATTGCACGACCGTTTTTCTGACGTAATCACGTGGATGTAATTTAAACGCTGAAATATTTTTCTCAGATATTACATCGGAAGAATTTTAATGAGGAGAATATTAGATAAAACTATGATGTTTTTTTATAAACATGTAATATAAATCTAATAAAATTCTGAATTTATTATATACAATCATAAAATCGATATTAAACAATTATAAGAATTTCTTCAATGAATAGTTGAAATTTATGCCACTTCTATATATTAGCTGTAGAGAATTTATTTATTTTATTTTTTACTATGTATTTTACAAATTTTTGAGCAATTTTTTGAATCTACAGATGTTGCATTAACATTTTAAATCCCGACATGACTTACACATGTCTTCTTTAATTGAATATTTAAATTCCTCCTTACATTTTTGCACATTTATGATTTCCGTTGTAAGCATCATCAACAGTTTTTACTTCGTAAAAGCTGCATGAGAACTAGATTTTTCAGAGTACCTATTCACATACTTGAAAAAATTTGAATAAACGGGAAGAAACAAAAAATGAGTTAAAACGAATTCAAGTGAAACAAATGAGGTTGCACAAATCAGGATATATTCCTTCAACCATCATACCATTATGATGAGTT